TTTAATCATAGGGTCTGTTTTCGTCGTCCAGAGCAATTTTTTTTATAAAAAACCTGGCCACAGATGATTTGCTAAATCCCACTTTATCAAATCTGTTTATTTCTATATAAAAGAAACGACTTGCCGCTTAGAATATTAATACTCAACTAAAAGAACTATTTTGCACAGGACTGTATGTTAAATACGTACATATATGTAGGTATTGTGCATTTAACTGCAATAAGTGTTTGAAAATTTGCATTTCAAGCAGGTGAGTGAATTTGTGATTTAAACCAAGTTCTTACTTAAGTAATAATGTGATAAATATTTGTTCAGTTACATAATATATTTATATTGTTGTTATTATTTAGTGATTGTGGAAAAACGTGTGTTTGTGTAGTATATATTCTTTGGTAAACATTGCAAGATCTAACAAATTGCTGTAAATCATAAATGCACATTTAGATGCATTATAAGTGCATTTAAGTGTCAAAGAGATAAAATATTAAAATATATGTACTCGTATTTGAATGTGTGTGTAGTTGTACCTCAATTATAAATTACATTCATAAATGTACATATTTAAACTTGAAGTGGCATACGGCATTGACATATCGATAGTATATTATGTAATGAATGTGAATGTAGAATAATAATAACATTTACGAATTTGTAAATAAATTATGTAATCTTTTGCACAAAATACATAAGCAAGTACTATCTGTGCTTATATAAGTTCTACAACTATTTTACAGACTCATGCAAATTGCTTGTTTTAGCTTTGTCAATTAAAATACAATAGTAGAAATGTTGTGGTCCCTAAGTCTTAGGTGCCAAAACGATACTGCAGTAAAGAGCAAAGCCAAAGTATAGAAATTCTAGTTGTAAACTAGTATGCTATCCTATCCATATATTAGCAGAAACTGTTTCATTATTTTTACATTGAATTGAAGGCTTTATTTATCATCAATTGGGACACTCACGTCTTTCTCTTCAGGCCTTTTCTTCACCATCCAAATAGTTTTGTTAATTCGAAACGAACGACTTTTGGAGCTATGAAAATTAATAATGAAGTTTCCAGTGATATTTTGTGCATCTAATTATGTGTAGAGCACAGGTTGGACCAGATAAACTTACTTACTTACTTTACTGGCATAGACACAGTTTACGCAATTTTAGCCGATTTAACAACATTGCGCCATTCGTTTCTTCTTTTTGCTGATTGGCGTCGATGGGAAATACCAAGTACAGCCAGGTCCTTCTCTACCTGGTCTTTCCAACGGAGTGGCGGTCTTCCTCTTCCTCTGCCTCCACCGGCACCTTGTTAGCTCTTCACCGTCGACCGGTAGGCGGGCGATTGCTATTGGAACTTCTTCATGGTCAGGTAATGGAGCGCCTTTTCTATCGTCAACGATTAAGGTTTCGGGTTCACCATCTCCGGATTCTCCATTTTCACTACTATTCAGCAGGTTGGAGAAGTGTTCTCTCCATAAATTCAATATACTCTGGGCATCGGTGGCTAGATTACCTATTTGTGTCCTACAAGACCTGATAAAAGTTCCTTATATTTCTTAATGACCTGAAGAGTTCATTTGCATGCGGTCCGGATAATATCCCAACTTGTGTACTTAAATTTAGCACTGCATCAAAGAAAAATGTATACTCTTCTTCGTGGAAAGAGACATATATTTTAGCTCTACATAAAAGTGGTAGTAGATCTTCTATAGGAAGTTTCAAGACGATTGCAAAGTTATGTTCTATCCCCAAAATTTTCAAAATTATTTTAACTGATCAATAAGTCTATTTTGTCTCATTAATTATTGACATCTCACAACTTCGAACTATTCGAACATGCTAGAATTCAAGACCCATGTCGGCAATGCTTCCGAAAATGGTTATCAGATCGCAGTTATCTACACTGACTTTAACAAAGCAATGAACACGATCCTCGCTCTTTACTTCATTTTAAACTGGATTATTTCGTGATTTCATCTTCCTTTCTAAAGTGGATTTCATCATACTTGATTGGTGAAATATCAGTAACATCTCGCCGCCTTTCTTCTTCCTTATACTGATCAATGTGATCCAAATGTGGTTCTTCATTCGAAAGCACTCATGCACGCAGACGATGTCAAGCTCTTTAAGCCAATTCGTCCTATTGAAGATGGAAAACTTGACCCAAATAATTTAGTTATCTGTTGCCTATATGATACATAATAACAATGTCGAACAAGTTACTGACTATTGATTCAGGTGACGCAATGGACCCTAAGTTTGGTTTTAGAAATCATACAAATTGTTGTGTGGAGCTCGGACTATCAAATTTATAGTGATAGATTGGAATCTGTACAACAACAACAACAGTTTCTACTATTCGCAGTAAGAACTGGGATGAGAACAATTCCCTCTTTATAAATACAATTAGCTCTTTCTAATCCCTCAAGCGATTTTCGGCCGAGCTCCTCCTACAGTTTGTGGTTTTGCTACAGCGACCTCCTTACTGCGCAGAAATCTGCTTATACTCTGTAGTCGGCGAAAGATGCTAATTATAGAATTAAACTATTTCCTTCTTTTTTTTAAAGGGGGAGTGTATTCGCGACCTTCTCCGCTCGTCTTCAAAAAAAAGGAAATAAAATCATGCAGCATAGACAGAAACCTATGGTAATCACTTGGTGTGAGGTCCGGAGCGACAGGCGAGTCACTATAGATGTGTGTGGTCTGGCGTTGCCTTGATAAAACCCAAATTCCACTCCTATTGGCCAAAACAGGGCGCTTCTGAGCGGTTGCTTACCTCAGACGGTCCAATTACTGACATTACAGGTCCGCCGGGGTTGTAGGAGTGTAGCTATTGTTCCCCTTTGCCACTTATATCAAACACACATCAAAACCTTCTTGGCCGTCGTTACTAATATTCTAAATTGCAAAATATGAAATCTCTATTGAAAGGACAATATTTGAAACCACAAACGGGATTGAAGCACTTTGCTAAGGAAACCTTTAGGCTAACTTCATCGGTTCCGGACAAATAATACTGTTGACTCTGCTATGGTCACTGAGACGCTTGGAGCGATGAGTTGCACGAGGCGACAAGCATATAATCCAGTTAATGGACCGCCTTAAGCTTTTTATGTGACGCCTACTTCTAGAAGCAAATGGAGGCTGTCATTCAAAACTTCAATAAAGTGAGCTTGTTATTTTGATCTTATTTTGACCATCTGGAAAACTGAGATGCTATCAGGAATGAATATTATATAGCATTATTGGGGCATTTGAAGACTGAAATCCCAAAGAACTACATGAGTTGAACCTCGAACTGCGCCGCCATCGACCTACCGCGTCAGATTTGACTATCAGCGGCTGCTACCTGTGCGTTTTGTCCTATACATTCTTCGGATATATACAGACTTCGTCCACTGATCACATATATTCGCTGTTTTTAACATAAGACTCAAATCCGACAAGCTTATGACCTCTCTCATCAAATTCTGTTGGTTAAATTCTTCATTCGAAGAAAATTTAAATTTCCATTCCTTCAGCACGGCGATTCGATGCGAACTCGATATGCTTAAATCTTCTGCTTTCGTTAGAGGTATTGAATCAAAGCGGGCCCAAAGGAAGAAGTCGCAAGGTCTTGAATCACAAGATCTCGGTGAACCATTGCTATCGCCTCTTCGAGAGATAGCACGGTCCGAAAACATATCCCTTAAAATATATTGATGGTTTCATTGCTTGCGTGGCTCGCCGTCTTCTTGAAAGTACATATTGTCCAGATCAAAACCATCCAATTCCGGCCATAAAAAATCAAGAATCATCTCTCAATAGGGCAACCCATTCACCGTAACTGCTGCAGCATGATTTTGGAAAAAGTAAGCTCCAATGATCCCTCCGGACCATAAAGCTCATTAAGGACGAGTAGGCTTTTCAACAATAAATTTGTCCCAGATGCGACAGTTTTGCTTATTGATGTAGCTATCGAAGTTAAGCGCTTCTGAGACCCACAGAAGTCAAAATGATTTTTGAATGGAAGTTCGGATAATTTTCATGAATTTGAAGGACCCAATCAGCAAAGACATGACTTAGTTGTTGATTGGCCGCCATGAGTTCTTGTGTTAACTGAACTATATAAGGCTTATGTCCCAAGTTTATAGGCAAAGTACGGTGTAATGACGTTTGTGGAATGCCCAACCCTTCTTCAACCCTTTGGGCTACCTCAATACAATGATTCTCAGTTGTTCTTGAGCGATGTGCGCGTGTTTTATTCTTCACATCACTAACTTGTTCCAACAGCTCCTATTTTTCCACCAATATCTGTATTGCGGCCCGGTGGGGTGCTTGGCGACTACCGACCACGAACCGTCTCTGCCGGGCTTCCTTCTATTTTTATTATTGTCATAGTTTTTACTTGTCAAATGTCAAAAAATTACTGCTTCATAAGGGACATCAACCGGTATAGCCGGCTGCTCAAAATAGCACCTCTTTTTGGAAAACCCATACCTCGGACCAATTTCATATTCATGAAAGGTAGTGTTACACTCATTCGATTGTTGTTTTTGTTGCCGGTGGATAAAAATGTAATCTAATTTTAATATACATTTGCATTTATAACTAATTTTCTCATTACCTTCATGACAGCTAACCTCAATCAATTTTCGCTTATGCACATACATACAACCAAAGCGCATAAACATGTTTTCGAACACTTGAATTCGCTTACAATTGTTTCTCATTAAATTAAATATCATACCACTCACACACACACATATATATATGCATACACATACTTACATCTATACATATGGATATACAATTATTTAGCCGGAAATATACGCATTCATATGAAGAAAATAATTTATAACAACAAACAATCAATTGATTTGCATATATACTTACATAAATACATATATTTGAATTCATTTATAAGTATGTATGTATGTATGAACATATGTTTGTATGCATTTCCTTGAATTTATTAAGAATCTTCCCATTTAATTTCCCCTCCCACATTTATACATTATTTACAGGTGAAAGCATCCGATGCAAAATATTTGCAAGTCACACAACAAGTAAAAGCGCACGGCTCCTTGCAATATAAGGTGAAGATACAGCACGAACTGCCAACGGATGAGCAATTATTTATCCATGTCCATTCACCAACAACACTACAAGACATTGAGGTAAGCAGTTGTAAATAATGAATTATCACCACAAGTTTGTGTGTGTGAGCGCTGGTCACGTGAGTGAGATGCGAATGAAGGTGTGTATGCACAAATACATGCACAAGCAAGTACTCATGATCGTGGTGATGATGATGATGAAGATGATGATGGTGATTATTATTATTATGAAGTTGTTGATAATGATGACAAAGCGAAAGAGTTTTCTCCAGCCGGAAGTCTCTACTTATGAATGTCTAAGGTGTCTAGGAGCTTTGAATGAAATATATAATATATATCTACTACATGCAAAGCATTTCTAATGGTATGCTTTTGCCTTGCACATTTACCACTCTCTTCGTGTGAGTATTTAAGCAGGAAATGGGTGAATGCCTGAGTAATTCACACGTGATTACCTATTTGAAAAATGATTGTGGTATGTGACTCAAACACTAACCAGCGGCCAAACGTTGACCAGTCAACCAATGGGCAAATACGTTACAGTGTCTCTTATCGCTAAAATGTCTCTTAATATTCAAGGTTTTCTCGACTATTTATGGGAATCTCGATTATTTGAGCAATGAGTACACCTATTCAAGGTTCGTTAACCGAAAACTTTCGAGTAAAAAACGTCTTGATTTTTTGATATTTTTCTCTATATTTTTTTTTGGAAACTGGCAAAATGATTGAAGTGTATACTTAATAAAATCTTAAATTTTTCTTCTGGAATACCTATGAGCTTGTCACGACTATTTTTCATCTGTCAGACTCCATTTACGTCCAGATGTGTGAAAATCCATGTTTTTTTCGATTTCTACAAACAATGGTTCGTCAAGACTCTTATAATTGAAATTTAGAGATGACACTCCATTCGCACAGTACATTCCACTTGCCTTGTTTATTCTTTTGTAGTCTGTTCACAATAACAAGCTCGGTCGTGCTTTGCTTACCACGCTCGCTCTGAGTCAAGGAGAGACTGTGTACTCTTGGCCAACTCCAGTAGACATTGGCGGTAGTCCAACATAATTTAACCTAATTGCTGACAGCGGAGATCCCGGCATAAGAAGAATTGCTATATGCGGTTGGTTATTGGTATAGCAGTTCAGCAGCAACGGGAGAAATAATAATTTCTACTTCTGTTTGTTGTTGTTATATCGGCACGCCACGGCTGAATTTCAATCTCTGCTCTGCTCTGTTAAGCCTATATATCCACTTCTTCAAAATCTTGCTTTTTAAGCTTGCCAAGTTCACCTTTAACCGCTTTAATTATCTCTTCGTTGTTACTAAAAACCTTTCCTTGCAACCACAGAGATCGCAATAAAATTACTCGTTGCTTCAGCGGTGTGGGATGGCGCGTTTTCATGATGTAAAAAGTAGCGCCACAAATCCGCTTTCTTTCTGTTTTTCAACAAATTTTTTATAACCTTTGGTTAGCACTCTTCGGTGTACCATTTTGCAGTTACCGCCCGAATTTTTTCCAGTGTAATAACAGCTAAGATTTTAGATGGGGTGAAGTAAACTTTTGTTGATGATTTCTGTTGCTTTGATTTATGGGTGGGTTTGCTCCTGTTGGGCTTCATACAATGGACTGCTGTTTGGTTAATGGATCGCATTTATAGAACCAAGGCTCGTACGATCAGTAACGACCTTACTGAAATTGTTAGACTGATTATTTTCGAATTTGTTCAGGTAAAATTGAGCAAAATGCACTCGAGCCACTTTTTGGGCCTCATTAAAAATTTGTGGTACCCATCGAGCAGATTTCTTCATGTATCCCTGATGAGTACTTTATATTCGCGACACAGCCATGGCATTCAAGCTCAATTCAATTGCAATAATTTCTTGTGTGAGACGTGGGTCTTCGTAAATTTTGTACTTCACCAAAGCTACAGTGCCGTGATCGTGGAATATTTTGGTCTACCTTCTCGTGGCTCGTCCTCTACGGAAAAATGTTGGGTCTGGTATCTTCGGAACCACTTAAAAATAGTCCTTAAAAACTGTTTAATCGTTCCATGTGCAATGAATATTTGTATTTGTTCTAAATTACGCTGAAACCTGAAGAGAGGCACATGGCGAATTTCTGTTTGCGTTGCTGCTGTGACTTCATCTGATCTCTTCTCAGCTATCTTATGTTTTCTCATCTTCGTTTTAGCCGATCGTTCTCAAATTTGAAAGGAAGACTAACAAAGTGATTGCGAATGTACAAAAACAAATTGAAAGTCACCATCCGACCGAACTTTTGTAAATCCCCCTCGTACATCTGAAAGCATACATTTGAATGTATAAGTAATTTATATTTTACTCTTGTAGTCTTGCTGCAAGTGTGAAAATGTGGCTTAGAGCAAAAGTACAGCCTCTAGCTGGGCATACATATCTACTCCTCTACAAATAAAAAACATACAAACACATATGCGGCAGCAGAATATTGCTTTACAACCTTTTATTTATATTTTGGTTTGTTCTTTATTACTATTTGCTAAGTGTTGGCATTTAAATGAAAATAATGTTAAATATTCTTTTGTCTGTCTGTCTGTCCGTCTCTTTGTGGCTGTATATTGTTTATTTGTTTGTCGTTTTTTGTTTAGTTATACATATTAAATGCATTTATGTACATTTGTTGCTTAGTTTTTATGCATGCAGTTTCTGCAGATGCTGGGAAATTTACGTATATTTGCATGGCAAATTGAATGTCGGACACTTCCTTTTCATTAACTCAATTATTCTTTGTTTCAAAGTACATATTTTCATTTACATATGTACCTACATTCGTTTGTTTTTCTCTCAATTATCTAAGTAGTTTTTGATAGTCTTTAAATGTATAATTAAATCTACATTCTAGTAGTGTTGTTTTTGTGTTTTTTTTTCGATTTCACTGGTATTGTCTCCGAGTACGGCATAACGGTAATTGCAGAGGTGAGAAATGGCCGTCGAAATATGTTAGTATATTTCGCTTTACTGCCTTGAAATTTAAATGGTAAGATAAAAGAAAAATGTTAAAATTTTTTTATTTTCAATATTTATAAGAGAGCGTTGCTACGTTCGCGGAATGAAAGGTAAGACGTGTAAAAGTAGAATGTATACAATTCAATATATACACCTGCAAGAGGGATACATTTATTAGATCTTTTCAATTATTTAGTTCTAAGTTCATAACAAGAAGGTCTAACTTAATCTTCAAGATACTTCGAAGCTGCCTCTTTGAATTCACCATCCGCGATACATTTTTTACCCTTCATCTCTTATTTAATTTTAGAAACAGTTATTATCACTCGAGGCCAGGTCTTGTCAGTTGAGGGCGTGATTTAAAATATCGAAGCACATTTTATGCAGCGCAGCCAACTCAACTCAGCACTTTTTTTGCGGAAGCGTAAGCGTTTTCGCCACCCATCCTGCGCTGACCTTGGATATGTCAAGATGATTGTATCGCTTATAGCACGCCAACCAATTCTGCGAGTTGTTTCTTCGTTGGTCCAGTAGCCTTGGGAACAATTTTTTCAACTTTCTTCTACATTTTTGCTCCGCCTCGAGTCATCTTAAATGCATTTCTTTTCCTTCTAAACTGTTCCACTTGTACTCCTTGGCTTTTCCTGAACAAAAGTCGCCGCAAACCAATAATATTTCATTCATTTTGGTCACAACAGGTTTTTCTTGCTTGGCAAGGAACTTTGAAGCGGCACTATATTCGATTATGTTGCTTGGCAGACGATTGGTCAACATTTAATTGTCTAATAACAATGAAACCTCGTAAAGCAATCGCTATTCGAACTTCGACATGGTCAGGTAACGAAACATCTCTTCCATCGTCATCGATTGGGATTTCGGGTTCATCAATCTCCGGGTGTTTCATTCTCACTGCCGTTCAGCAGGCCGAAGAAGTGTTCCCTCCAAAAATTCTGTATACTCTGGGCTCGTTTGCTCCGGTCTTGAGTCGCCGTATCTTTTCATAGAATTTTCGAGCATTACCCTTGTCTGCAAGTCTCTCAAGCTCTTCGTATTCACGCATTTCGGCCCCTTACTTATTTTGTCTGCAAATGCGTCTTGCTTTCATTGTTGATGAATGTTTTTTGATACACAGGGCCGTGTGCGTATCTTCGCTGCAGCAATATAGTAATCCGAGTCGATGTTGGGTCCTCGGAGTGTGCGCACGCCGAGAACACTGAGGACATGTTTTCGTGGCGGGAGCAGCGTTCGAAAGTATGTTCAAGCCGCTCATAAAAGCCATCCTTGGTCACATCGTCCTTCTTTCCGTCGGGGCGTGGGCGTAAATCAATGGTATGTCAAGGAATTCGCTTTGGAATATTGTAGCGACGCAACCTACCCAAAATTTGCGTTTCTTTATATGGCCGCTGTAGTTAATTTCACTTCCGTCCTTGTCCCGTCCATCGCATTTCTGGGACGGCGGTGATGTCACCTTTTAATTTAATGAGAACATCAACCAGCTGGGCAGCGGCAGCTTCCCAATTAATGGACTGGATATTTGAGGGGTTCGTCATCAAAGAGGATGAGAGACCTCTCATTCAAGGCAGAATAAAATTTTTCATTGGAGTTTATTTTTCATGTGGTGGATACCTTGTCCTACGCACAACCATATGGGATTAGCCTTCTCGCTTTAGCTAGCCTCCAAACGGATGCTTGTTGTCTACCGAGGGAATACTAGTTTTAAGACCGGGAGTCGAGAGCTGCTTGAACCATATGCAAAAGCATGGTTGCCGGCCACTCCCACTTTCGTGAACTTCACATGTCGAGAGAGTCTCCGAATCCCAATTAATAGTTCATCCTAAAATGTAATACTATACATTTGATATTATACGGGCGATCGCAGTATTTATGTAATGGTAGCAGGTGTACGAGAATCTGCATCGTACCATGTCTTTTTTCGCATTGTCTAAAACCATTCGTTTCGTTGGTGTTTGTGTGTAAAGGAAATGAAATGGTGAGTACTCTCAGAGAGCAGGAGTGCAAGCAGAATGTCTGCTTTGATGCGACGATGAATCTTCATTATTTTGTTGGCGCGCGTACTT